ATCACAGGATGACATCATTTGGAGAACCACTGAAAACCTGGGAGTATTTATTTACTTGTTTGTATTATCACTTGGATTGCATTTAGTTCAGATTTAATTTCTGTCACTTTTGATCAGTAATGTTTTCACGTTTCTTTGAGTAATAGATTGTCCCACTTCCTTGGCAATAGAAACATCAACTTCAACACTCTATGTAGCAAGTTTTTTTTCTTTTGTTGAGAAAACATTCGAATGAGTTTCGAAGACACCTAAATGAAACTGATCAGACAGTTCAAAAAGCAGGTCTAACTAACCTACTTACTAGTTGACTCTATACATCCAATATTAATGACACATGGAAACATTGTTGTATGCTTTACTCTTTACTCACTAAATACTTCGCCTTCTAAATAACTTAAGGTAGATGTGGACGCTGTTTGACAGTTCATTTACCAGAAAATTAATATGGTTTTGCATTCGAATAGAAAGATCTACGTATTCACCAGGTTCAAATTTGGCCGAAGTCCAGTTTTTCATTTCGCTTATTTTCATTTCAGTCATCACTCTGTATCAATAATAAGAGCCCGACAAAAATTGTAATTACGTAAAAGTATTTTTATCATTTAAGCCGAAACTGATGATAGATTCATCACCGACGCCATGAAAATCAATCTCTGATCATATTGTGAAAGTAATGAATCTTATTCAAATTAGATAAATTTCCTTAAACACCCGAAATCAGTGAACCCCAAGTTCGAAGTCAGGAAGATATATCCGCAATACTGAAGAAATCTATAATCCCTTCAGAGATTTATCAATTAATGCATACAACCCATGACTTACTCACAGCAGGCATGAACTTTACTGAATATCAGACTAAGAAATAGGCCTTCTGAAGTATAAAATTTTCAGAAAACTCTAACGATTTACTTTTTTTAATTATCCCTAGAGTGTAAGCTAAGGGCAGTCCTTTCACACAGGGTTTTTCTCCCAATTTCATCATGTCAGATCTGCACCCTTTGCCAACACTTTCAAGACATCTACCATCTTATCATAGGTGTGCGTTTTTCTCCTTTTCACTTCAGCTTGTTAGATGGATATACCTATTTATCAGTGAGCAAAAGGGTGTTCCCAGTAAAGCTCCCCCCAAACATAAGGGTGCTATCCCCTAGGCTACTAAGTTAATAGAACCACCTATTGAGTGACAGAAATCATTTGTTATGTGTTTACCTCCTTCAGTAAACATTTCCTTTTTCATTGGATTCAAATGATCCGTCGTTAGAATCAAAGTAAATCCAGTTGATGTGTAAGAAATCGAAAGAAACATTCATCCAAAAATCCTTTGTCAATTTCAGGTGTGAATTCATTATAGATGAATATTAGAAACCTGGGAGCACTGGGAACCTGTTTCGCCCTGGTGTAGGACTCCTCAACAACTCGCACTCATGATGAACTCCAACTGAAAGTCAATAACTAAATCTCCACAAAAATTTAGATGGGATTAATCTATCGCTCATTAGTGACTAGCTTCGAGATGTGATTCCCGAATTTCCAATGAGAAGTCGTAAGTTGTGAAGTCAACCAAGTTGAACACGAGGCTAGTTACTAAATGATGACACTGGATTTAGGCAGCACTATATTGTGAACTGACAGAAGTAGGAAATATGCACCACTGGACTACAACTTGAAGGTTCTGGGTTCAACCCCTGGTAGGGAGGGATCATGGATTCTCACTACTGAGAAGTCCTATAGTAAGACGAAACAGCTGTCCAGTCTTCCCATGTTTGCGATATTCTTCCAACTGATGTCAGTCCATCATGAATCCCAACCTAAAAGCAACCAATAAACTCTACAAACCTCCAGAGACCAATAAATTCGATGAGGAGAAATATACAAGCAGATAGATGCTTTTTCACTTTAAGATAAAAAGGACTAAAGTTCTTCACACCTAATTACCTTCTTGTACAATAACATAACATTCTCGTTCATTATTTTAACCCGAAATATGGACAAGCATATGAAAAATTTTTAACTATGAAAACAATCCAATCCTACCCGACAAGGTTAGTCCATCCTTCTCATATGTGTATGAATAAAAACCGCAGTAATCACTGTTACTGACATGCCACCCAAGTACATCAATCTTCTTCATGTGAAATACAATCTCCTAGACAAGGAAAGTCATAAAGTTTGGTTTCCTTTAATAATAATAATAATAACAATAATGTGTCATTATAATAATTATTCATCGTGTGAAAATCTTGCCTGCTGTTGTTCTGACAACAGCAACAATTAACACATACACACACGCATACATACAAACAATTCAGTCTACTGGTAGATGAATTATTTTTTGCAGAAAAATTTTCATTTCAGTCTTCTTTTCACTTATATTCACTTTCTTTTTTAATTGACATTATCTGTGATATGCATCATCATTATCGTCATCATCCTTACCAATCTAGAACACCCGCAATTCCAGATACTATGTTAGTTACACAGTGGTGTTAAGTGTGTGTACAACGGGGTTCATCTAACACTATTGAACATTGAATACTTTAAATAAGGTGCTATCGTCAAAAAATTACCCACCTTATGCTAATTAAATAGTATAAACTTTATAGGAGAGAAGATTAGCATATAGAATTCAGATTTTAACTGCGTTACCTGTTAATAAGTTGTTATTCTTTTCTTAGTTGTTTGGTTAAATGATCAACATAAATTTTGTTTAATTTCATCACTTCAAAAGTGTGTATATTTTTTCCAAAAAATCTTTAGATTATGTCTAGAGATGATGATAATGATGACTAAAGTAAACTTTATGAAAGACAGCCATGTTAAACATGGAATAAGGTGTGCTACCGAATTGTTTAGTTTTTAATACAATAATAAAATATAATAAGGTAGAAAATTTGGGATTATAGATGGTTAGAAGGGATCAGCAGGAAGCTCTACTTTACCCAGGCTTCATGTTAGTTAGCAGTCCCCAGCATGGCGTACCTCTAATTTCGGGGAAACTGATGTCCTCCTTGAGATTGGTACCCATGTCCCCTATTGTTGCAGACAGTGAAGCTATCATCGAGCTATTCGAGCTGCGACTGACATATGTTGGTTGACACTCGTCAGTAAGAAGTATCTGTGACCTCGACAGAATGTATATCCCCTGTCATATTCGAATCCACGTCAGAGTAGTTACCGTTGACCTTTTCAAGAGGCGATTGACTTCCTGTAGGATTAGATTAGATACATTTATTGGCCACTGAATAGTTATCAACTTCTTGTCGTATAGTCCTGAGTGCTGACCGAATTCGATTACATCAACTGCCTTCATGGTGGAAACTGAAAATAAGTCAGAATTCCACTTTCTGGAAGTTCTGTTGAAGAAAAGATATGGTAATATCCTAAGAAGATAGATTTACAGGTTACATACCTGGAATGGACAATATGGGGATTTTTAGCATTGAGTAACGCGAGTTCGAACTTCACAGGTGATATCAATTTCCTTGAGGTTGTAGATTCACTTTGTTAATAGGTTCCAACGAGAATGAAACGTAGTTCAAGCTTGGCCTCTTGTAGATTGCTTTCAACCAAATAATATCCATCAAAATATACCACAATTGTGAGCCTCCTAGCTTGGTGCCCATATTAAAAATGATCGATAAAATTTGATCATCATTCAAAAATACATAACATGACAATGTTCACTTTCTATGGAACAGTTAGATTTATGAATCATAGCCAATAAAATGAATATTTCATGCCGACATACTAATTTCTGCAGGCTTAATCATTGATGTAAGTATGCAGGAATAAGATTCCTAACTTCTGTTGATGTTTACATCAAACTACACTCCCTGGACTTGATTACTTTAAGATAGCCCTAATTTAGTAAATCTATCTTCGCATTCCGTCGATGGAAACTGAAGTTTACAAGAACTAAAACTACGAACTGAATTTTAGGCAACCGAAGGAAATTGACAGGAAACCCTTCTGCACATAGGTTTCATTCTTATTGGCACTCAACAGCAAGGCATATCTACAATATCGACGGCACTGATGTCATGCCTGAGTTTTGAATCCGCGTCACAGTGTTACACGCAGAGACATTATTACTCCATTATTCGGATCGCGATTGGTTTCTTGTAGCACCGAAGTAGGCACATTGATTGGTCACTGAAAGGTAACCAAATTCATATTTTCAAGTCCCATATCCTAATCGAATTCTATCTATCAAAACTATGAACTAATGTGAAGTCGTCGACCTGTTTGGTTATCAAAGTTTATTGTCAGGATAAATATTAACTAGTGACGTTGAGTGATTGTCACACTATTTCATGAATTATCACAAGTTAAAAAAAATATTGCCACCGAGTCGCTGCAAAACCTGAAGGTCCTAAGTTCGATCCATGACGAGATCATGGGTAAGCACCCCTAAGGAGCCACATACTAGGTCGAAACAGCCGCCCACTACCCTTAGGTATTCAACGATTTTTGAACTAACATCAGGCTATGATGGACACCAACTTGAAACCAATCAAATCCCTAAAAACTTTTAAACTAAAATATAACACCTTTTTACCAGTAACGTCAACTTTTATTTCGTATAGATTAGACTTGATTAAACTTTGTAGAATTTATCATTAGATAAGATTTATGTGCTAAGGGAAAGAAGACGCTTGTCTATGTTGATCAGCATACTTAACAGCTTATCTGTTGTTTAATTACATATTGCTCAAAAAGAACAAGGCATACAACAATGTATATAAAGAGAAGTTAAAAAGCGAGTTCAGTGTTCCACAGAATCATTCATACTATTCTATTAACTTAATAGTAAGGATCATATAAGTTTATTTATAAAATTCCCAAACCAGTAAGAAAGGTGTATTTCAAGGATTTCATTGTATCTTAGAAATCATTACTGAATTCTGATTCAATTTTCAATTGTTCTCTATACAGTATTTGTTTTATTCCACTGATATAATTCAAATTCTTTGTATTTTCGTTTTGTCACTTCATTGCAGATTACTCGCGTTTTATTTCCAATAACGAGTAAGTAATTCAATTTTACCGCTTGTTTTTTCACTTATCAGTAGTTGTGAGATAATTTCAGACCTTATAATCAGCATTATAAATGCATATAATCATCGATTTTTATATGTCCAATCTTATGTTCATCTATCTTGACATTAATGAAAGGTCTTGTGGTAGTGTCTCCCACTGAAAGGGGTACTGAATAAGTACATTACTTTGTTAAAAGCTCTTAACTCGAACACATTTGGGTGTTACAGCCTCTGGTCGGTTTTCAGATAAGCTATGTACATCGAATGGTGTCCGTCAAGGATACCCACTCTCTCCATTCTTGTTCACTTTTGTCAAAGACATTATTCTGGAAGTCTTCCACCTCTCATCTGATATCATAGGGATTGATATATTCACGGGAGACTCCTTGGTAAGTCTAGAGTACAAAAATGAGATAGTTCTGTTAGGTGAGGCTGCTGACAAGATACAGAGTCCTCTGGACACCTTGAGTGGCGATTTGAGAATGTTTAGGATGGGATTCTCCTAACCTAAATGCAAATTGCTGCTCGGGCTAACAGTAGAGAGTGAAGTTGTTGGGGACGTTGACTGGCTCACTTACCTAAGAAGTAGGGTCAGCCCTGGTATCTCACTGGCTGACGAAGTCTCTGTACATAAACAAAAGGCTCAATTTTCACCATCTGTGGCACCACCAGGATATCCGATTTTCTATTAAGGGCCGACAGTACTGTTCCTCAGTTTGCTCTGTTCATCTGTGTGGTTGTGAAGCATGGCTATTAACAGTATAGAATAAAAGAAAGTTTCAGGTATTTGACCGCCACTGCTTTCGGAGCTTTATGAGGAAGAGGAAATCCAGTTGACAAGGTTGTGAACCTTCATCGACCAAGATGACTGGGACATATGTTGTGCATACGTAGTCACCATCTGCCTAACCATACAATGTTGGCTTAAGTATATTCAGGCTTGGAAAAGGGTTAGAACTGCTAGACTAAACCATTACATCGCTGTACTAAATCTTTTGCTCTTGGTTTGAGCCATGTAGGGAGATCCAGACTACCAATTGCGGTCGACGTGACAAATGAAACCAGTGGGTGGAGACTGTGAGTGAAATGGATAGGAATCGATGTCAGTGGTGCAGATGCATCCACACTTTATCTTATTCTTAAACACCATACTAAATTCGGCATTTTCTCCACTCTCTCTTTTACTGCTTTTCACCAATGTTGACCGATTTTTCTCTCTTTCTTCATCTCTCATCCTACTACTTCGTTACTGAACTGAGGTGTGGCAACTTGAACTGTTACGCAGTAATCCCTTATCCTATGTTGACATTGATTGATCTGACTGATTAATGAAGCACATTCTGTCAGATAAGTACAAATACCATTGAACTTCGAGTGTGAGAGTGATTCCAAAGAGACCGTCAGTAATAGATCCTAGTCACAGTACATGAGTAGTATTGTTCTTCTAGCTTCCCCGGTTTGTCAATAGTTAAGTTATATGGCAACATTATCCAGTTAGACTATGGGTGCATTTTCATAAGGAATATGAGGATATGAACTTCACGTTTCGTACATAAGTTATTATTAGTGGGATTTTCTTGTCAACTAAAATCGATAGTTATACCCTGATAACCGATGTACATATCACGTTTCAAGAAGTCAGGACTAACTGACGTCCATTGATTAAAACTTTTAATGTAACCACTAAATTACTGAAATCATTACCATAGTTCACTTAGCTTTTGTGTTGGTTGCTACAATCCAGTTGATAGGAAGCCTCATTTAATGACCACTGTCCATTATGCGAAGTTTAGCTGTCACTGAAGACTAAAACGTGTCAATGATAATAACCCATCAACAGATTCATGTTGGCCAATACCAATAAGCTTGTAAAATGTTTTGACATTAGCTGACAACAATAACTAGGGTAACTGTTGCAGAAAAAAACCCATGAAACAGCTCCACTCTCAATCGATTTTCTTCTACATACCATGGAGTTCTACGTGTCGGAAGATATGGGACTGTTTTCCGTAAAGATTGCCGGTGTTACAGAGGGCAGTAATAGTCGGCGAAACAAATGACAACTTTTTATGCTATCCGTTCTGAATCGTATCAAGACCGGCGTCCTAGCTAAGGGTTAGAATCAGGTGCATGAGATAGCTCTGTTCAACAACGCCGTCTTTATAACTAAGGCTAATCAGTTATGTTGACAGGAAGAATGGCCCTAAATAACTTTGTGGTAAACATTTTGACTTCTCCATTAAGTGACACGTCTGACCGTTCAGGGTAACATTGGTCATTGAGGCAAGTCATTTACTAAACTGGTGAATGCCAACACTCATAGAAAGTAATTCAAACAGAGCTTCTTTCCAGTTTCCTCTTAACAGTTTAGATGAAACATATTCACAGACATAAGATAGTAGGCTTTATTAATGGTTAGTAATTACGCTGACTTGTCTGCATAGTCAATGTATCAGTCACCCACAAGATAGATGTTCACAGAAATAATATTTTATGGCATTAAATAACGCCTGCGGTGTATAACAGATTAACAGAAGTAGATAAGAAGATACCACTAAATGCCATCATCCACTCCATGAGACATAAAGATCTTGGCTTCAATGCATCATTATGCTAGTTAGTTCATACTGCTAAACACGCATCCACTGCTGTAATTTCTTTGTGATTGTTAAAACGATGAAAACCATTTCAAAATCAAAAAGAGAGAAATTGGTTAGTCAATCTTGAGAAAATTATTTTTGACTGTACAATTTTATGTTAAACGTAATTATCTATTTGAGATGATAAAGCCTGAAGCTATTTTAAATGAAATCTGGCTACTTTTAGAGAATTTGGAAATATTAAATCTTATTATCAAATATCGTGAGGAAAGGAAATATTTTCATCTTAATATAACTCAAGTTCGATCTTATCTACAAAGGAAGAACTATTCCGTTGTAAAATATTCCTCAGTTTTTGATGACTAACATTGGCAGTCAGTTGGTGTAACAGTCTGTTTTACATAAGTTTCGCAACTGTCAGCACTCGTCAGTAAAATGTGTGTGTGTATAGTTGTTCCATTAAAGACTCGAAATCATGTCACTCAATGTTTAGTTTAAAAACTTTAACTCCATATCATTGAGATAAACACTGACTAATTAGCCTACTGCAGTGTGTACAAAAATTGAACCCTCTTGATGACTGACAGTATATGTGTCCCTTCTTCGCATTGGTCAATGCCTATTGATCGAATTTCCAATATTCCCTCATTATTATGCATTGCGTTTTCAGTGCAATATATTAGGAGTTAAAAGGCAAGTAGTATTCAACCTTAGTTTTCAGTGTTTGAGAATAATCCATTCGATGTACACTTTTCTTTACAGCACAGCTTGTCGTCGAATCCTTGATTTAGAGTACACCTTCGATTTGACAACTTCTATCTCCTCAGTTAGCAGGAATTACAACTGATTGAAAGGATGTTGCATTTTAATAATATTAATGATCTTTTTTTGTATTTAGACAAATTTAAGATGCAAAATAAACTACATTCGGTAATATCAATCTACCAGAAGATTATGAAAGCATCAGGTGGATTTAATATGTTATCTCCCTCAGAACTGTGGAGTTCAATATGAACTCGTCTAGTGTGACCTCATAATGAAGCGGTATACACACATCTTTCAATATTACCTTCCAATTCATAATTTTAACATTCAGTAGAGTGTGTTTTGAAGATGGCTACCTTTTGTCTTGTTATGCAAAGATAACTAAAACTATATAACAAATTAGTAAATTTTGAGCAATAAAAATCGATTGAGTAGTTTAATACTGGATTTTTTCTTTCATTAAGCATAAAATATTTCAATACTGACTTTAGAAATTTATATAGTAGTGACTAGCAGAAGAGTTGATGATGCTCATTTTATCCTGTTTTGAACTCGTTAGCTGAACACCTACGCATCCCATTAGGTGTTGCCTTTGAAACTCTAGCCTACCATCCATAGCTTCAAACACCATAAAGCTAGCCATTAGGTTACTGAAGCATAAGATTCACCTATTATTATTATTATTTACTGACACATGATTTTTCGATGTTACACTGAAACAAATTAATAGGCCTCTGTTGGCAACATCAAATAGATTACAAAATAACGAATAATCAGACAATTTTGAGGCATCCTCATTAGAATCCATATACCAACAGAAATCGATCTATTCTATTCAGTCTAAAAAAAGGGGAAATTACAAGTATGCAAAAAATATATATAATTGATTCTAGAAATAATTAAAAATTCTTTCATTTTAAGTAATTTGTCAGTTTACAAACTCAGAATGGATATCCTCATTTATTTCTAAGTTATTATCAACAAATCGAATCTATTTCTTATGGACACTTTTAGTCAGTCACTAAGTTGATACATGAAAAAGTTCTCTACATGCTTGTTAAATTATTTCTAAGTAATTTGTTTAAAATTCAGTTTATAAAATATCCTTATTTCATGCATAACAGATCTTTTCTATTCAGTGTCAAATGTACACTCTTCAAGTCTTTTTTTCTTTACATTTTGTCTGCTCATCTGTACACATAAGGCAGTTCTATGTAGATAGATTTCAAACTTTCGAATATTATGAAAGGGAAACAACCGTCGAAATTATAAAGGAATTTAATCTTGATATAAATTTATGTATATGAGTAGGCATGTGAACAATACTTCTCAGATTCCATTATTGATAATCATCCAGTCAGTCGGTAAATAGAAAAGGTGGTAAAATAGCAGAAGGTCTATTGTATATGTCAAAATATGTACAAAATAAAATGGTTTATATATACATCTATAATGGCCTTGACCACTTCAAGGTCATTCTAGAATCCTATATACCATTGTTTGTCACTGCTTCAACTAATCTGGTATTTACACGTTGATTCGTGCATTTTTCCTCAAAACTTCAAAGCTCCACAATTGGATGTGAACGGTTTCAAGGATTTACGTCTCCTTTTCCAGGTAGATC